ACTCTCACTAACCCTTACACTTTTTCTGTATGTCATTGATACACAGCATTTCCATTTAAATTGATGGATTCAGTTTAAAAAGAATTCAAATTATCAAACAACTCATTTTCACCTGGTGATGATAGAACAGGCAAAAAAATCTAATAAAATAGAAAACTGAAACATTGAAGAACAGAAACTTTGGAGTGAGTTCTTTCAAATTGGGCCAGAAAGTAACCCACCTAGCAACAGCACAGTAATGCTGGGTACACACTAAAAGATTTTTAAAATCTTATAAGATCTTCAAAATGTGAGAGACCACAAACATGAGGACAAAAAATCCTAGATTTAACCGTTTTGCTCCTATAGTGTGTGGTGTGCCGCGATGTTCCCCCCACACATCAGGATTTCTGATCGTAAATATTCAACATGTTGAATATTTATGATTCGCGATCGGGGCGCCTCCGAAGTTCTTCCGAGCAGATTCAGTCACTCTTAACACACCTCACACCACAGGAAAATCTGATAAGATAATCTTTAGAACCACCAAGATAATCGGGACATTACCTAGGATTGTCGGAAGGGGAGAAATCAGCCCAAAATCAGCCCGATTATCTTGTGGTGTGTACCCAGCATTAGTAACAAGCATAGACTTCAAAAAAAGATCTGTGTCTCCGTGTCTCTGCTTTCTTCCACTGTAGAAATGTGAAGCTAAAATGTTCCCCATGTCTGAGTCTGAGCAGTAGTGATTCATTTGGAGCCCGAGTCTGCGCAGTAGTGATTCATTTGGAGCCAGAGTCCGTGCAGTAGTGAATCTTTTGGAGCCCGAGTCTGCGCAGTAGTGATTCATTTGGAGCCTGAGTCTGTACAGTAGTGAATCTTTTGGAGTCCGAGTCTGCGCAGTAGTGATTCATTTGGAGCCGAGTCCGCACAGTAGTGAATCTTTTGGAGTCCGAGTCTGCGCAGTAGTGATTAATTTGGAGCCTGAGTCCACGCAGTAGTGATTCATTTGGAGCCAGAGTTCGCGCAGTAGTGATTCATTTGGAGCCTGAGTCTGAGCAGTAGTGATTCATTTGGAACCAGAGTCCGGGCAGTAGTGATTCATTTGGAGCCCGAGTCCACGCAGTAGTGAATCTTTTGGAGTCCGAGTCTGCGCAGTAGTGATTCATTTGGAGCCCGAGTCCGCGCAGTAGTGATTCATTTGGAGCCCGAGTCCGCGCAGTAGTGGTTCATTTGGAGCCTGAGTCTGAGCAGTAGCATTCATGAGCTGGAGCTGCGGTATCAAAGTCTTGCCCAAACTCCCGCAGACCCAATCGCAAGCACCCAATCATGACACCGCACCCATCACCCAATCATAACAACTAAAAGCAAAATAAAGAAAACCTACCACTTGAACAAACATCAGAGTGATAAGAACTACCTAAAATGACAGAAACCATCTAGTTTGGCTTACATACTGTTCGTTGACATGGAGAGGGCGGTCAGCCACCAGGGGGTGAACAAAATATTTTGGCTTCACTTTTCAGAAATGTGCAGCACACTTGTAACAAGTAACAACTAAGCAACTGCATAGTAACATGCTAAAATGATTGAAAACACCTTAGCAACTGCATAGCAAGTTAACGCATTAAAACCAGACCTTAGCAACTGCATAATTACATACTAACAGCCACTTAAAGGTGCAGTAGGAGATCTTGGAAAATGCTAACTTTAGCCTGATAGCACTGAAAGCCAACGTCCCACCCTCCCTGCAATCGCCGTCCAAAGCCACGCCCCCTGAACGCATATACGCTCACAGATCAGAATACCAGAGACAACATTACTACAATAGGCTACATCAGCGGTTCCCAATTCCAGCCCATGTTCCAAAGTGAAGTAAACTTCAACGGATTTCCCCCGCTCAGGGAGTAGGGAGCAATGAACTCTGTGTAGGGATCATATCAATCATACTATGTACAGACAAGCACTGTTTTAATGCATTAAGCCATGTAAGCGGTTTCCTTATAATGGTTTTCTATGGGAGGAAAACGCTAAACGCGCATTGCGTTCTTATCCTGAACTCATCTGCTTGTCTGTACAGAAGTATGATTTGTTAATAACGTGTTTTCTGAGTTTGGTCTTTGAAAAACACTGTCTTAATGCATTAAGCCAAATTAAGTGTTTTAAAATGTCCCGAACAGAATGAGGTCTGTGCAAAGTAGTCTGTGAAAAAGGTAACTATCTATTTGTCTGTGTAAAGTTTTCCTCTAGGTGATCCAGACCCTCTCAGACTAGACCAGTGGATGCTCAACGTGAAACGACAGAATAACGACAGAATCACCTTAGCAACTGCATAGCAAGTTAACGCGTTAAAACCAGACCTTAGCAACTGCATAATTACATACTAACAGCCACTTAAAGGTGCAGTAGGAAATCTTGGAAAATGCTAACTTTAGCCTGATAGCACTGAAAGCCAACGTCCCACCCTCCCTGCAATCGCCGTCCAAAGCCACGCCCCCTGAACGCATATACGCTCACAGATCAGAATACCAGAGACAACATTACTACAATAGGCTACATCAGCGGTTCCCAATTCCAGCCCATGTTCCGAAGTGAAGTAAACGTCAACAGATTTCCCCTGCTCAGGGAGGAGGGAGCAATGAACATTGTGTAGGGATCATATCGATCGGAACACAGTTCATGCACGTAGCTCAATTCTAACGAGCTGGTTATCTGAATAGGGTGTGTTAACTAAGTGAGACATGCAAAATATGCAGAGCGGGGGGTGCGAGGACTGGAATTGGGAATCGCTGGGCTACATCATGTGTCATTCACTGGTGAGAAAACTTTAAAAGTACTACAATACCATGAAGGAAGATCGGGTTGATGTTTAGCTGCCATTCTCGCTCTGTCTGCACAGCGTGCATGAACGCGCTGATGACGTATCCTGTCTGCGCGAACCGGGTGCGCAGAGGTATGCTAATACATACGTTGACAGGCAGGTAGGAAAGCTAATTAAAACGCTCGGACCGAACGTTTTGATTGGACGAACATTTCTTGGTCCTACACCTTCCACAGAATATATAGATACAGATAAATATATTTAGACCACTTAACTTAATGATTGCTATTGGGATGTGAAGAGACTTTCAACCAGCATAACAAAAAAAATTTCTATTGCACCTTTAAAACACCTTAGCAACTGCATAGCAACGTGCAAAAAAAACAACAACACTTTAACAATACAAAAAATTATCAAAACACCTTTTCAGTTGCACAGCAACATGCAAAAAACTCTCAAAACACCTTTGCAACGTGTAAAACAACTTTCAAAACACCTTAACAACATACTTAAACCACTCAAAACACCATAGCAACTGCACAGCAACGTGCTACAAAAAACAGAGCACTATAACAACTGAATAGCAACACCCTTATACCACTTATAACAGCAAAGCAACAAACAACACCTGTGCTACAAAAAAACAAAAAAACACCACTACAGCAACTGCATAGCAACACCCTGGCAACCACTCTTGGGTCATGGCTGTGACTTGCACAGGTAAACATGGAAGTTTTCAAAAGATTTAATTTACGCTCTTGGTTTAGGGCCATATTTTGAACATTTTTTTTCTTACAAGGCACATTCTCACTCTTACTTTCCGTCCTTTATTTCCTTTTTTCTGAGAAGCATGTGGCTATGGATCACTGACACCGCTGGGCTCAATTAGAGATGTTTGTAGAGTTTTACCATATGGCCGAGAGAACTGCGTGAGGCAAAGAAAGAAAGATAGAGAGATAGAGAGAGGACTCTGTGTACTGGGAGGGGTTGTTTGGTTAGTCATTGACAAAATATGGAGCAAAGTTGCTCTCTCTCACCATTTATCATTCCATGAGGAGACTGACCTCTTGGAGCTTTAACAGTGGAGTTCAGAACAGACAATGGCCTAAGTATAACGTTACCGTACTGGAACACAGAGCAAACACACAACACATCTCGTAAAACACGTACAAAGATGCACCGTCTCAGATTGACGAAGCACATTCTAGAACTACTGATGTTTATTCTGTGTGATTTGGACCTGTCATACTATTGTATTTCACTATAACCTCAAGTACACTCCTAATCAATTCACAAATATTTTATTAGAAGCAAATTAGAGTAAAGGTTGAGATCTAACTTGTATCTGGTTTGTTAAACTAGTTTGGCTGGTTACTGGATAAGGAGAGTTGCTGATAAACTGCACGTTGTATTTATTTACATAGAGCTCAAGCCTCTGTGCTGGTAACAGTTACAAAGTGGAAATGCAAAAAAAAAAATGCAAGTTTTAAAGTATTAAAATGAAAGTATGTAAAGCTGCTTTGAAATGCTTTGATATGTATTGTGAAAAAAGAGCTATAGACTTACAAATAAACTTGAATTTTAAAAAGAAGGAACCGAAAAATATATATAATATATATAT